CCCGCCGCCCTCGCTGGCTGGAAGCCCGCGCCTCTCCCCTCCGCCCTGCGAGGAGGGGTCTCACGGCCTCCTCCGCTCCCACCCCCCGCCGCCCCCCGCTCCGGGCTCTGCGGAGGGTCCGGCCCTGCCTCGGAGGACGCCGAAAGGGTTGCGGATGCCCAGGTTGTGGAGCTATTAAACATAATCCCCCCGGAGACCTCTCTTGGCGGCGCTGCGCGGCGGTCTGACCCGCTCTTGGCTCTCTTCGGGCCTGTTCTTCACGGGCTGTACCGTCGGCTCTTACAACTGAGCCTGTAAGGCAAAGCGTGGTTTTTCAGGGGCCACGGCCTTTGAGGTTCTTGGAGGCTTTGTCTGCTTTCACTGGGTTTCTCCCCTGTGGGATTAACCTCCGTGCTCTGAAACGTGGGGTCATTTACGCAGGGGGTTGGCCGGGAGCGGCTGCTGGGACCCGACCGGTGTGGCCGTGGCGTGAAAACGCGTGTCCGGGCTTTGACTCTCATCAGCGAGCGGCTGCCGATGCTGCCTTACCTTTGTTGTTTTGCTGGGACGTAATCTGCAGGAAGGGGTGATTTCCTGGCCTCTGATTTCGTGGCCGGAAGAGAAAAATCCTTTCTCTCCCTCACCTTCATTTTAAGGTCCTCCCGTGTGCCTCGGGAAGGGTTCGGATGACCGTGTTCCTGTAACATTCCTTTCGTGGGGGGGAATGTAGGGTGGCTGACACGTACAGTCGCTGTTCCTGTAGGGATTTATTGCTTCGACACTGAGGAAGTAAATATTCTCTTGCTTTATGCACATTAGAGCTGCCGTGGTATCTGACCGAACAGGGCTGTGCTTGCACTTTACTCACTGTTTAAACATAAAAGATTGGATGGAATTTACAACAGGTAACTCTGATGTCAGGCTTATTTTTTAATGAGGACCAACGTTCGTCACACCATGGATGCCCCTGCGGTTGTCTGACGGCTCTTTGCAGCTACAGCTGGTCTTTGTGGCAGGTTTTATATCCTCTTTTCTGGAGTATGAGGTTTGTGTTCATCTTTGTCCCTTTTTTTAAAGAAAAATTTCCCCAGTCGTCAGCAGCTGGACACAAGGAATCTCCAACTGCTGCTGCCCGGAGCCTCAAATGTCTCTCCGATTTGAAAATGGCATCTCACGATGTAGGACAGCGCTGCCCCAGTCTAGTAAATCTGATGAAACGAGCCCATTCCCTGCCGGGGTTTGGATCCACGCACTGCCTCCATGCTGTGCAGGGCTGGGGGGACGGTTTGCCTGCCCAGCAGGCGCTGACATCCCCTTCCACGGGCTCTGGAGATCTTGCTGAAAGACTAGAAGCGTCTTCGCCCTCCCAGCCTTGTCATGCTGATGAATATCTCTTGGGCAGAGCACCAGGATTGTCTTTCCTTGTTGTGGATCCCAGTACAGTGCTTCATACTCTGCGAATCCTGACATAACTGGGGATCCTTGCCTTTTAAGGAGACTTTGTTCATGATGTTCAATAAGTTTGATATAAAATAAGCTGGTTTGGTCCTGTTAAAAATGTCTCTGGCTCTTCTTTCTGTTACTTATTGTAACTGGTTAACGAGAGATGATTAACTGCCTTGGTTTATTCAGTAACCTGCTATAAGTGGCAGCTACCTCCAAAACTTTGATGCAGGCTTCTGACAGGGCTGGAAACTTCCATCTTCTTTAGACAGATCAATAATGAAATCCTTGAGGTTTCTCTCAATGCATCTTCCAGGCAGTGGCGGTGCTCGCAGGTCCCATGCTGGTGGCTGACTGCTGGACTGGCGATATTTGGGGCAGTTACTGTGATATTTAGACAACCATGTTAAGTTCCAGGTGATTGTTGTTTGAGTTCTCTTGCCTTGATCTCATCTAGAGAGGCAACTCATTTTGTTTTGTTTCTGTAGCCTGTGGGAGCAGAAAGAAATGGAAGAATATCCTTTCTTGTACAAACCTGTGCTACAGCAACTTTGGACTTGCATTAAACACTGCATTTGAAAACAGTTTTAATCTTTGTGTCAGTGCGATTTGGTCCAAACACGAAATTATTCTGCACTGGGGAATTTGAAGTCATGAAAAATCACATCACGTATCCGTACCACTTGTGGAAGCGATGGTAGGAAGGGCGACAAACGGGGATCTGCTCGCTGGCGTTCTGCAGATCAATCTAATCATTGACTTGTGAGCCTGAAGTTTGTGGCTGGAGGTAGTTATTAAATGAAACGGAATAGCTGGAGAAGTAAGAGAGCCTTCAGGTGCTCTGAAGCAGGAAAGAAGTTGAGAAGAATTGCTCGAGTTTAACAGAGGATCCTAAAACAACTCAACCCTCCGAAAGCCAAGGCATGTGGGGCCTTTGGAGCGGAGAGGAGAGCACCGTTACTTCCTCGGAGGAGGGACAGCCGGGTAACATGGCTTCAAGTGGTTCAGTGGCTAAATTAAGTCCCTGTTTCACAGCATAAAGAGCCAGGCTTGTGCTTATTTCAGGAGGGTCAACTGGTTTTTAGTCTGTAGCTTGCAGAAAATAACTGTAGAATGTGAAGTTTGTGGGCAACTTCTCATTCATCTCCTCTGCGTTTCTCGTGCTTACTCATCCTTCACGCTGTGCGGTCCAGGCTTGCGGAAGCTGGTGCCTTTATATCAGCCCCTGTTTCACAGCTGCTGTTTTCCTTCCTGCCCTATCCAGGGCACAGAGGCACATGTCCAAACACACTTCAGCTTTGTTGCAGATTCCATGCTCTTTGTATATCTGTTTTAGACACGCTTGCACAATAGCAAGCACGTTAAGCTGAGCTGCCGTGCCTTGGCCATGCTGCCTAGTTAAGTAACTATTTTCTTTTAAGCTATGCAATAAGATGAGAGTCATCTCCCTTTGAAATCAAACTGTTCTGCAGCTGAAAGCAGTGAAACAGTGATGTTCTCTCCCTGCCCTGCTTAGGCCACTGGCAGCCTGCCCTTTCGATAGCAGTGCTGCGCTGGTGAGCCTCGGCTTAATTTGGGAGCTTTCTTTTTGAATGGAGGTGAGTGATGGGAAGAGAAAAACGTGTGTTTTGCCTCACTATTCTAGTGTTTCTCCTTATTTCTGAGCACTTTCCTCCCAGCCTGACCGTTCAAGCTCTTAAAGTGGTTATGCAGTCTTTGCTTTCTTCTGCCCATACCTTTAAGGGAGTTGCTCTTCCTTGTGCAGTCATCTTCTGCTGGACTTCAGTCAGGCTGGGACCTCGCCTGATCTGGATTAAAGGGTATCGTGCTAGCACGCAGTAGCTATCATGTGTTAACTGACTTGTAAGCTTGTGTCGACAGCCCGTGCGTCTGCAAAACTGTTTAAGCTAAAGCCTCCAGAGGAGTAAGGAGTGAAATAAACTGTGCCTCGAGTCCTTGCAGTCCTTATTTCCAGTGTGGCAGTTTGGCTGGTGCTCCCCGTTTTTTACAGCTCTGCCTGGCTAGGGAGTTGTACTTCATCAAGCAGCATCCGAAACCTCCTCATCTGAGATCCCTCAGCCCGGGGTGATTCATAAACTAGTGCAACCTGTTGCGTAGGGAGTGCCTGCTATCAAGGAGATGTGTGAAGTTACTCATTAACTGTTCTGTATGCATCTTGCTCAGCAGAAGGCTGTGCTAAAACCCTGGGGAATGGCTTCAGCGGGTTGCAGACAAACCAAATGACTTTTCTGCAGCACACGGACTCGGTCAGCCTCTGCACACCTCAATTGCTCACTCTTGCCTTGTCACAGCCTCAATTGCTTCTCACCCCATTAACCACGAAATTATAATGACTGATCTTGAGACACGAGTTACTGAGGGAGAGAGGGATAAAAAGCCACTTTTTTTTTTTTTTTACCCACACCCAGCTATCAGGTTGCCAGGCTGTTTTTGCAGTAGGATATCTGAGTTCAAAAAGTACCTTGTTTCTCTAATAACTGGGGCGAGAAACACTCCAGAGGTCCAAGTCTGGCTATTAAAGAGGGATCTTTCATGGCAAGTAGTGAGTATAAAAGAAGAAATAGCTAAGTGCATTGCAAGTGAGGGAAGACAGGTGTGTTTGGCAGAGGTGTTGAGAGCCTTTTTTTAAACAATTGGACTCTTTGATGGAGACAAGTAGGAGATGCTGTGAGTACAGGTGAATGCAGCTATACGCTGGCAGAATTAAAACCTCCAGAACTAATTGGTATCACACCTCCACCTCAACTTTCCTGTGTGTTTTGCCTTTTCAGAGCAATCATTGGCACTTTTGCTTGCTGGTCCAAATGTCCTGGGCGGCAGCTGACACCCTTCAGCCAGGACCAGTTGTACCTGGAAACTCATTTTGTGAGGCTCTGCTGTGCTTTGTGGATCCTCACTTTCTGGTGCGGGTGAGGTCTGGGAGGTCCCAGGTGTCCAGCAACTCTCTGACCGTGGGTGAATGAATCCCTGTCTGGCTTCAGGTCTCTGGAAATTAGGAATAACTCACTGTAGGTAAGAAGTAGTAATCTGCAGAAAGGGTTCCTGTGCCAAAAACTTGTGGTAGTTCTTCAAATATACCTCTTGGCTGAACAGGAGATTACTTTTGCCCACAGGTCTTGCCTTGCTGATAGTCATCACCTTGGTTATTTAAATTCATTGCCAGCTGAGGCTGTCTCCCAGTGGTGGCGGTGCGTTTTACCCCATCCTGTTCCCAGTTAACAAGTGGATGGAAGGCAGGCAGTGTGGATAACAGAGAAGCTAATGATAACCTGTGTCCGATGCTGATTTTTCTTTGTTCTCTCTCCTTTCAGGATCCCTCGGTGACACAGCTCACAAACACTAGCCAAAGTGGCTTGGATGAATTCAACCCCTTTTCTGAGAGCTCCCAGCTGGTACGTGCCATGTGTTTCTGCGCTAGGTATCTTGGTGGTGGTTTTAGCAGTGTAGAAGGTCCTTTGGCAGGTGCAACTTGAGAGAGTGAGGCATTTGCAACTGATTTCTCCACAGACAGTAGTTCGTTGTGTGCTTGGCAAGCTGCAAGCAACTGCTCCTGCACTGGAGCACTAATAAAGTCCCAGCTGGAGCTCTCCACTCGCATGGAACAGCTCCTCTCAAACTCGCTGCTGGCTCACAGTAAAGCTATATGAAGTGTGAAGGGGAAGATGTTTTGTGGCAGGAGGCATCAATATTTATTTGGTCTCTGGGTTGGGAGCTGAACTGCTGTGGTGATATCATTGATGGATTGCTGCAAGAAATTCATTCTTATTTCCTGGCTGCTGCCATGTGTGAGATGGGAAAAGGAGAACAGGAAACTAGGGTAAAGCCATATTTGCAGTTTAAACAACTGATCAAAATCCCTTTTTGTTTCTTCTTTGCCTAATAGTTGTAATCCTCAGGTGCTGCTCCCCCAGTGCATTAAGGAACTACCAAACTCTTGAAAACAGAGTTTCTTCCTGCTAGTGCTTTCTGTTTTAGTAGTGTTAAAACCTGGACTATCCTTTGCTAAAAGAAGCCACATGTAATGTTTTTGCCATGTTGCTTGTGACTTATATGCAGACAAATGCAGCACGGACGACGCCAGCCACGCAGCCCTCTGGCCGCTCACAGCCTGCTGTTCTGCAGACGTCTGTGGAGCCCACTCCCCAGGTATGGCAACCCCTTGCTGCCGCCTTCCCAAGAGCTGGGCTGGGCAGTGTGAAGGAGCTCCCGTGGGCCTCTGGAGGCACGTGGGAATAGGAGGGGAAGGGGATTCTCTGGGGTTGGGTGTGATCTTTTAAAGTTGCATTTGTACCTACTTTGTGAAGCAGATCTCTGTTGGGAATACATACATGCAATTCTTTTTATGCCTTTTCCCTGTCCCTCTGGTGGCAGAGCTCACTTTGCCTTGTATCCTGTTTGCTCTGGCTTCCCTCTGCAAACACTGAAATGTATCCTGTTAATGCTTTTAGCTTAGTTCTGGTGACTGGTCAGACACGCTCGGTTCCACGAGTGTAAATGCACTCTAGCTATACATTGCAGCCGCTGCTTAGACCGGCTAGCAAGTACGCGACTGCCAGGACCACCTCATCCAAAGAACAGAGAAGCCAAGGCTGCTAGGAGAAAGGATCAGTTCTCAGAATAGCAAACAGGTAGAAGAGATGCTTAAGAGATGTGGTCGAAGGCTGTCTTGCCTTTCCTTTGAACCTCCTCTCCTAGTTGGGAAGGGAAGTGTCCTGGTAAACTCGGGAGTTCTGTTCACTGCTCTGTTGCAAGGCACTTAGAGAAATGAGGCAAACTAGGAGGTAGAGGAAGCTGCAGAAAAGCACAGCTTTGCTGAAAGGGAAGGGCATAGAGGATGGGCAACAGACTGGATAGCCTCTTGAGGGCTCTTCCAGCTCTATATTCCCATGGGATAAGAGAGGAACATCTGAGTGGAGTTCTGCATTGATCTTGATTTTGTCCTCCAGCAGGTAAGGCAGAAAGCCTCAAGATGTTTCAGATCAGCCATGGGTTTTCAGCTTTCAAATTGTCCTCAACCTTTGCTATTGAATTGCCTTGGCTTCTGTTCCAGTTCAGCATCTGGTGTGTTTGCTGGTGGTATTGCCACTGCCTTGGTTAGGGAAGTACTTACCTTTTTCTCCCCCTACTTTAGGCTGTGGCTGCAGCAGCGCAGTCTGGGCTTCTTCAGCAGCAGGCAGAATTAGAGAGGAAGGCAGCCGAGTTGGAGAAGAAGGAAAGGGAATTGCAGAGTAACTCAGCCAGCATTAATCGTGAGTAATGCTTCCTGCCCTGCCTGCAATGAGTATGATGCCCAGGGAAGCCTGGATCGCTCAGTTTGTCAGGGTTTGATGAAGGCTCAGTCTGTCCAAGCGTATGCAGCTTTTTACAAGCCGCATGTCTTTCCTCTAGTCCTTCAGAGCTGTGGCAACCCTCTTGGGACTGTACCTGTCATCCCATAACTTACAAGGTGGGAAACGAGCTCAGAGATGAGATGCTGGAGACCAGCCTTTGCCCTCGAGCGTGCTCTCAGCATCCACACTTGGCCACGTTAAGTTCTTCAAACAGCAGTTTCGTATCCCTGCCTGAGCTGTTGTGTGATGCTTCCACGTTAAGGCTTTTCACTGAGAGCAGTAAAGCATTTTTCCCAGTCTCGAGGCTCTCAACCACAGCAAAACAATATTTTCCCCTGACCTTAGTTTTAAATGGCTGAATCTGGACTTGTAGTGCTGAGTGGCAATGGTTGTCCTGGCCCTTTGGCCATTGCAGGGGAATTCTGCCTCCCACAGAGGAAAGCCCTCGATCTGGGCTGGTCTGCCTCACTGCTGCCAGCAGAGTTAACGCATCCCTGCTGTGCTGCCTGCTCAAACCTAGTTACCAAGACCTGGCCCCTTCCGAGGTTTTTAATGTCCATATATATATGAATGGCTATGTGGAAATTATGGTCTGTGAATTAGTCTTTCTGTGAGAGAGGAGCAAGTAAAGAACTGCTCCTTTCTCCTTTCCACAGCGAGGCAGAACAACTGGCCACCTCTTCCCAAGAAGTGTCCGATCAAGCCGTGTTTTTATCAGGATTTTTCTGCCGACATCCCAGCTGACTACCAGCGGATATGCAAGAAGCTGTATTACTTGTGGATGCGTAAGTAATAGCTTGAACTGCAATAAAAACTCTTTCCAGGAATCAAATGCTGAGTTTTGACCTACAGGAAATTCTGTAGGTGTTGTCTGCAAGGGTAAAATAATGTCTCCCTTCCTTTTTTATGCAGGCAGATGTAAAGGATTCCAGGTTTATGCTTTGGGAATAGCTCGTTCATGACAGAATTTTGATGGTTGTTTAATGGAGACTTTAACATCTCTCCTGGGACTCTGAAAGGCAGCAGACAGCACAGTTCAGAGGTTGGGTGCAAAACAGTCTCAACTGTATTTGTCAGCTTTGGTGCTCTGAAAAGATTTAAGATTTGGTTGTAAGCAGCAGGATCAGATGAGGTTCTTGGGTTAAGCTCCATTTTCCTTTCAAAGGAGGCAAGGAAATTAGATGGCCCAAAGTCTCCTTTAATTTCTGCAGAGCTCCATGTGTTCAGTGAGAGATTAGGGATGCTGCTGAGTTTTCCAAGAACTTACTGATGGTTTTTTTTTCTCTCTCCCATCCTGAATAGTGCATTCGATTACCTTGCTCCTAAACCTGCTTGCTTGCCTAGCGTGGTTCACAGTCCAGGCGGACAGAGGAGTAGACTTTGGTCTCTCGATCCTGTGGTTTATTTTATTCACCCCTTGTGCCTTTCTCTGTTGGTACCGACCAATTTACAAGGCTTTCAGGCAAGTACCATTTTCTTCTGTAACGGGGATATATCTTTTAGTGGGAGGAGCTTTGGTTTTATCTGTTCTGATCGTATATTGCCTGCAGGATTTTTCCAGCTCTTTGCATCATTAAATAGATCAAACCCACTTGTTCATAAACATATTAGAAGTATCTGATGGAAGCTAATTATGGTGGTCCTTTTTCATCTTGAAATCCAAGCCTAACCAATCATAGGGTCCTACTTTTTTATTAATTTCTGAGAAACTGTTTGGTACGTTAATGTGTTGAGCACACTGCACGCGTTAAGGAAGCTGCCTTCACCCCATCTTGCAGTGGGCGGAGCGGTGATTTTGTGATATGAAGTGGACATGTTGTAAGTTGTGTTGCTGCATAAGTTCCTCCTGAAATCACCTCCTCTTAGCAGCTTTCCACTGGAGAAAGGAGTTCACTGAGATTGTTTCCCTCCTTGTAGAGAAGTGTGGGGATCACGTCCCTAGGTTTCACTCCTGCTGCCATCTCTCCTGCAGGTCTGACAGCTCCTTCAGCTTCTTCGTCTTCTTTTTCATCTTCTTCTGCCAAATAGCAATCTACATCATCCAGGCTGTCGGTATTCCTGGCTCAGGTAAGCGTGGCTTCGTGGGCTGCTGTGTCACAGCCCTGCACAGATGCTTTTTCTCACCAGGGCTGTGACTGTCAGGAGCTTTGGGGTCCGTTTCTGACAGCTGTCTGTTCTTTCTCCTGTGGTTTTCCTCTCTTGCCTGATACCCAGCTTTGGCAGGTGCCAGCTGGGCTGCCTCTTTTCCCTGCTCCGCCTGTCCTAGCCCCAGCAAAGGCGTGTACCTTTGCTGCTATGGGCCAGCGCTGGAAGGAGTATGTGAACTCTTCCACACCTCCTCTGCTGCCTTCCCCCTCACTTAATACATATAATACTTACCCCTTCTTGATGCTGAGCCTCTAGTGTTGACCACATCTGCCTTGTGTTAAAATGGAGCCTTCCCTGATGGAGGATGTAGCGGGGGGGGTGAGGGATATCTGACCTGGAGTCTGGGTGCGGCTTAACTCGATACTGCTGCTAGCAGCCTGATTCTGTCCGCAAACTCTTCCTGAATTTCTCTCGAGCGTGTTGTTGGTGGGCTGTGCTTCAAAAAAAATAATCAGAGAGGGTTTTATCCTCACCCTTTCTTGATGGCATTGCACAGAAGGGTGAGTCTGGGCTTCTGGAGTGGGTCCAACAGGCCTCTTGTCAGCAGTTGCCCCCTGCAGTGAAAGCACTGGTTTTCTTTTTGCCTTGCTGCGTTGGCTGCAGATCAGATTCCCGAGTTACTGTGAACAGTGAAAAGGTTAACAGCTAGTGGCTTTTCTCCAGAGGGGGAGCCTTCAGGTGATGAGCGCAGTGAAACTGCTGTTTATTTTTTGCCTGCTGCCTGCAGAAGGGCTCATGGGCAAAGCTGTCCTCGTGCTCCCTCCCCTGCTAGCTGGTGCTGCCTTAGTCATGGGGGACTGGGAGGGGGCAGTCCGTTTTTAGTCCGACTTTGGAGAGCATGCGTTGAGCTTTCAGCTCTGTTTCCTTGAGCCAGACAGTGCATTTATTTTTGGCTGTAGTGCATGGTGTGCCTTTCCGCTTCCTTGTAATAAGCAAGGAGTTGTGCAGCACATCAACTGGGACGGTTGGGCTCACTTGGGTTCCCTCTCTCCTGGTGGCACACGGCTTGCTTCGTTTAGCAGTTGGAAAGATTTCTTTCTCCAGCACCCAGGAGGGGGTGTTGAATGAGGCATCTTGGTATTTTCGGCCACAGCCAAGCCCTGATAACTTCCAGCATCCTCCCTACCCCTTCCCTTCAACAACTGCCAGTTTCCCCCTTTCTGTAGCTCTTTACTTCATCCCTTCCTTCCTTTTCCTCTCCCTCCCAACATACCTGGCCATGCAGAGCTGTCACGGTGACATGTAGGTCTAGGCTCCAGATCTGCCAGCTGATCTCTTACGATTTAGATGTACTGGCCTATCTTTTCACTACTTGGCTGAATTTTGAGAAGGTGTTCGTGGAAGTGACTTGATTTATGACAGTGCCAAGGGTACCCATTGCTGCCTAAGGGGGGTGGTCCAGGGGCCAGGGCTGTAAGGTGGGTGGGGTGAGCACGATTCTCTTGTGCAGAGGTGGATTGCTTCTAAAAATGGTAATGGAAATTCTGGCTTCCAAACAAGTGCCTGGATGAGCTCTGGGTCCCTGTTCCAACAGCCGTTATGTTTGGGTTTGCACTTCCCTGTAACCTTCCCCAGAAGGCTCTTGTGCAACCGTCGGTGCTGCTTCTCACTCTGCTCCATCTCATCCTGTGAATCGAATGCTCGCCAGGCTCACCCCGCTCTCCTCTCTCTTGCAGCGGCTGGATCGCAGCGCTGTCTGAGGTGCACGGGAACCTGGCCGTCACTATTATCATGATGGTGGTGGCAGGATTCTTCACGCTGTGTGCGGTTCTCTCACTCTTCCTCCTGAAGCAGGTGAGTGGCTCGGAAGCAAGACGAGGTCTCGCCTGAATTGCAGATCTGCAAGTCAGGCTGCTCCCAGGGTGTCCTGGGGTTACCACCTCCTCTCATCTGTCTGGGGATTAGCTTGCTTTTGAAGATGTAAGACTGCGAGGTCACAAGCTTGTAGTGAAAGAATTTTTGCTTGTGCTTCCTGCATTGATGCCAAGTTGCTTGAACACTAAGGGTACTTGCAGGTGGGAAAGTAGCCTTTGGGGAGGGAACAAGAGGCACAGATGCTTCAGTAAGACATAGAATCATAGAATACCAGGTTGGAAGGGACCTCAAGGATCATCTGGTCCAACCTTTCTAGCACAATCTAGACGAGATGGCCCAGCACTGTGTCCAGCTGAGTCTTAAACATGTTCAGCGTAGTGGAGTCAACCACTTCCCTGGGGAGATTATTCCAATGGTTGACTCTTCTCATTGTGAAAAATTTCCCTCTTGTGTCCAATCGGAATCTCCCCAGGAGTAACTTGTACCCATTACCCCTTGTCCTCACCATGGGACTCCTTGTAAAAAGGGAGTCTCCATCTTCTTTGTAGCTCTCCTTTAAGTACTGGTACATGGTGATGGGATCACCTTTAAGCCTCCTTTTCTCAAGGCTGAACGAGCCCAGCTCCCTCAGCCTATCCTCATACGGCAGGCTTCCCAGACCCTTG